ATATAATATATATATATTATTACTATTATTATTATTATTATTATTAAATAATAATAACAGTAATAATAATATTAATAATGAACATGTCGTCTAACTATATTGCTGCACCACGAGCGGCACGTATTGCTGGTGCTGCGGCTCCGTTGTTTTTTTTGTTTCTAAGTTTCAGTGCGAACGAAAGTTAAACAAGAGAAACTGAGGGAGAGAAAAACAAAAGGAGGTTTTTAAAAGTCCCAAATGGACAATATCCTGAGGGATTCTGTCGAAGGTAATTTTGTTTTTTTTTTCGTTTTTGCATTGTGACAAAAAAGAACAAATTGCTGTATCGTGGGCCCTTCGTTGTTCTTGTAAGATCCCACAGTCTGCTTATATTTAGTAATAAATAATATTAATAATAATAAATAACAAGCAAAAATTGCCGGGAGGCGCTGCTGGCTCCTCTCTGCTTGTTTCTTGTCTACATGCATGAAGTGTTATCGGCTATCTGCTGCTGCTGCATGTGCTGCTTAAGACGGCGTGGAATGAAATCGATTATCAAGAAGTAGGTTGACTCGTTGCTGCGGCAAGCCTAAGTGGCTTAGTGCTTCGGACAAGGATGCTCCTTTTGATTCACCGTTCTACCCTTCCTTGAAGGTTTCTGGCAGCAGCGGTTTGTAGATTTGGTTGTTTATTCTTTAGTTTCCCAGTTTAAGACTTGCAGTGCCGTCATATAGGAAGGCGCAAATCAAACTTAGAAGGGAAGACAGAAGGGTAATAGAAGCAACTACAATCCCCACGACCCCTGCGTAACCCATGTTGCCGAACAAAGCCATTAAGATTGACCAAATGAAGTAGTGAGCGAAGTTAACAGACATGAAGTCTAAGTGGAAGGAGGCGAAGTGTGACATGACCGTTATGGCGCCCATGACAAACGGAGTCCACACATCAATGAACACGGAAGGGACGAAGGAGAATAGCTGCATTCGCCAGCTCGATTTGTTCACATCTGCAAGAGGATCGTCTCCTATCGATATCGATGGGGAGGTGGAGGAGAGCTGGAAGCACCAGAGAAGAACTGTTAACACCCCACTCACAAACCCTATCCACCGAGTAACCGTTGCAAGCGGCTCAAGAGACGCCATTTTAGGCTTGTTTCGAGTTCTCCTGCCTTCAACCTGCACTCAGTAACCAACTCTGCACATATAACCTCTTCTTATATATCGATATTATCGATGGATACGAGGCCAACTTTATTGGCGAAGCGCGCTTCAAGCAAGCTTGGGTACGCTTCCACCGTGCCTGTTCTGTGTTGTGCTTGCTGCATGTATTGAGTGCAGCGGTTGGCGCAATATATTTAACTGCGTGTGTTTTCTGAATGCTTGTAACTATTAAAGTGAAAACATTAATTTCAATAACAGCAGGGCAGCGGTAAAATGCTGTACTGACTGCAACGGAAATCTCTGGTACAAGATCGACGTGGAGGTGGAGAAAGCCGTCAAACACCTTGCAAAGCACACTTCTCTTTAGACTTCGCAATATTCCCTTTTGTCCTCGATTTATTTCGGCAAGATGCTTTGAAAATGCTGTAGTCAGAAACTGTCGTGTCTCTGATGCAACAGGGTCACTTCTACGGCCACAGAAGTCTTTCCCAGGATCCACCGGCGTGCGCAGCTTACACACGAAACACTGCTTCTATTCAATGGAGTCTGGCTGCAGCCCAAGTTTATTTAACTACTAAAATAAAAAAGTAGTAAACAGAAAGTACTACAGGAGGACTTCTCATGCGCACAATTTGAATGCAACTGCCGCCGCCGGTGCAATTCAGATCGACAAAGAATTAGGCTTTAGAATGCTGTGGCACATGAAGAAAACTTCGCCGGCTTTCACAAGCTACTTTCAAACAATTAGGCAGAATCTAGGCAAGTAAGACTACTCAGCAATTACCTACAGTGTTAGTGCCTGCAGCAAGGTAGACTTGGCTGTGATGGCATATGCAGAACTGTCCTGCACAATTCGTTGTGCTGAGGTGCCTTGCAAATAATGCCAGGTAAGGTCGCCTTATCTCCCGCAGAGTCAGACAGGTTAATATCTGTGAGCAGAGAAAGTGGTAACTGTAGATAGAGACTTCCTGTGCTTGAGAAATCCATACCTTGGATCTTCTGTCCTCGAAGCTGCTCGCGGCGCCCATTCGGTTGGAACGATAAATTTAGGTATACATTCATTTGCAGTTGACTGCATTTTGCAGCTGATTGCAGTTATCAAGCTGACGTCCTTCAAAATGTACAAGTTTCCACAACAATTTTGGTTGACTCAGCTCTTATCCAGTCGCACATGCATTATACGTTGTGACACCACAACGCAGGCTTATCCCAGCACAAAGCATGTGCTACTAGGACTGCCGTACACCACTAAAAGGTCTTTGGAAAAACCGTGTAGTAGTTATAATTTCTAGAGCCACTTGGAGTATATATTTACTTATGGGTAAATGGGTAGGCATATTCCCCTACCATAGCTCACGTAACTGCCTGGGCGTGTCTCAGCAGTTTGTAGCACTGAGAGCTATTTCCGGTGTCGAAGTGGATGGCAGTGGAAAACACTGTAACATTCATATGTAGCATGTGCGCACACCTTTTCGTCAAACATAATCGTCCAAATGCGTGAAATTTCCTGGTGGCGGTTTTTGGCTGTCAGCAGCCGAAGAAATTTGCCAAAGCTCGCGGTTGACAAATAAGTAAATTGCGACTGCTGACGAGTAATGCTCGGTGGTAAAAGGGAGCGGTCGCCTCACCTTTCCAGGTTTATCTCCGCTTATTCTGCGCATATCAGGTCGTGCACTCCACCAGTCATTGCATGAGTAAACGTCTGCGGGAACCCCGGGAATTCTACCCATGCATGAGAATACACCTTTTTAGAATAGTCAGGCTTAGCGAACTTCATTGCAAGCATCACCATAGGGAACAGCTCCGAAGCAGGAAATTGAGCAACTCCAGTACGTTTTCCTTGCCCTTGTGAGCACTAGCTACTTTGCACACCTTCGGATGCGGTCTGCGCATGGTCAAGCACCGCTTTACCGTAGACTGCCGAAATGATCTTTGCGTAGAAACATAAATAAAATGCGTTTATGTTTCTGCACAGAATTGAAGGAAAACTCTTTGGAATAAAATGCGTCCAAAAGAATTGCAGGAAAATTCTTTTGGACGCATTTTATTCAAAAAGACGAAATACGTCTACCGCTTGGATCGAATTACAGCACGTACGACAATGGGAGCCAACAACAGTGGCGGCGTTTATGTAAAAGCGAAAACGAACAGTTTCATTTCATAGTTTGGCGGGGGCCTCAGTAGTGACATGGAGAAGTTGCAAGCATCAAACATATAGCTCTGCGCTTCAGTACAAGAACGATGAGATTAATGGCACATAGATCCCTTCCAACTGCCAAATCTAAATGCCTGGCAAAATAACGACACGCAGCCAATAATCTTGATATTGATATTCCATGACCAGTATGCTCTGTTGGGTCAGGTGCAGTCACGAAAAGCTGCCATGGATTAAATTTGGGGAAAAACCGTCACCTTGTTCATTCTAGAACGTTTTGAGCTGTCAGCGCCATGGTCGCAGTGGCTACTCAGCCCGCTACGTATCGGGGGCTAATGAAAGTAAACGTTAATTCTAACTAGGCTCATCTTGGATATCACTGATGTTTGCGAGTATTCTCCACTCTACCCGCAGGAGGAAAAGGCCACTGTACATGACCTACTACGACTTGAAGAACGCCTTTGGATCTATTCCTCACAAGCACATACACACTGTCCTGCAGGTTCAACGACTTCCGCAGCACGGTCGGGAGATCATCATAGATCTCTATCAAGGAGCGAGCTTCTGCATATTGACGAAGGAGGGCTGCTCAGCCAGAATAGAGAATAAGAGGGGAGTCAAACAAGGTTGCCCTCTCAGCCCCATTCTTTTCAATCTTGCCATTGAGCCGCTCCTGCAGCAGTTGGCCGCATGCAACGAAGGCTTAGAACTACGCACGACAAATGGGAAGCCTCCAGTCAAGGTTTCCCGCATGGCGTACGCAGATGACTTAAAGACTGTTGCCAACAGCCGTGCGGGCATCAGCAGCCTTCACCAAGTGGTGAAGAAATTCCTTGATTGGACAGGTTTAGAGGCCAACCCGTCCAAATGGGCAACACTGGGTTGGAAATTGAACGGGACTCGGCAGCAACTAGATCCTGTTCAACTCAAGCTGCATAACGAGGTCTTGCCAGTGGTGAAGCTAGGGGAGGCGTATAAATACCTAGGACTAAAGGACGCATTGGAGACTCCAGTGCACCAAGGGCAAGTCCTTCTGGTCATGAGCAAAGCCAAGAAGGACATCCTCAAGTTCCTCAGGTCAGCGTTACTCCCCTGGCAAAAGTTGGATGCGGTGGGCACCTTTGTGATATCCAGGCTTGATTATCATCTCAGGCACTGTTACCCCTACAAGCAGCACCTGCACCTATTTGATCGTCATATACGCTCCGCCATAAAGGCGACGTTCAAGCTTTCAAAGAGCACGACGACAGAGATGCTTCACCAGCCCACCTATAGTGGAGGACTGGGGTGCACCTCTCTGAAGACGATCGCAACAGCAACGCAGATAGGGCATGCTATCCAGATGCTCAACAGCAACGACAGCATGATTCGGGCAGTTGCAGAAGGCCAAGTGCTAGAAGTCATCAAAAAGGCTTTCGTTTGCACACCTGACAGTGAAGATAGCGACCGAGCCGCAATACTTGCTCACCTCAACGGCAACGATCTTCGTTGCCTGAAGAGGAGAAACAAGAAGGTGGATATTAGAAGCCTCTGGTCTGAGCTCCCAGGACGTCTATCGGCTAGCAAAACGCAAATCGAGACTGGGAGTAACGGCAGCGATAAAGACAGCAGATGGTTCTGGTCTAGACCAGCAACACCTCATTAAAAGTATCAAGTAACACATGGCAGGGCGGCAGCGCGATGTATGGAAGGACAAAGTAGACCAAGGAAAATCTGTGGCCTACCAAACAGCAGCTAGCAATGCTTTTTTGCGGGGACCAACCCGACTGAAGCCGGAGGAGGTCGTTTTCGCTTTAAGAGCACGCTCTGCACAATTTCCCACGAGAGCATACCTGAAGAAGATTAAAGTCTCCAAGGTATCTAGATGTCGTCACTGCACAGCAGACCCGGAAACACTTGCACATGTGCTTAATCATTGTCCGCACAGCCTTGACAGCAAAATCAAAGAACGACATAACAAGGCCTTAGAAAGGATTACAACGGCAATCAAGCGGAGCGCGGTGAATCGGGACCAGACTCTACAAATCGATAGCAGTCCAGCGGATATGGATATCCTACTGAGGCCAGATATCTTCCTCAGGGACGAAAAGCACAAGCGTGTTTGAAGACTATCAGAAGAATTCGTTTGGCTCTGCTCGTCTCCAAAAAGAAGAAAAGTATCAAAGCCTCAAGACGTACTATGAAAAACGTGGGTATAAAGTGCCAGTGCATGCATTAATATATGGGTCCCTGGGGTGCATAGCAAAGGAAAACAAAAGAGTGCTTACACACGAGTTGGGACTCAGTAAACGCACAGCGATGAACGCACAGCGTCGTTTGTACAACGTGGCATTAGCACTGACTGTATCCGTCTAAGCCATCATATTTGGGGTTTTCACACGGCAAATAATGGCAGGAGGCGAGCAAGAGGAGGAGGTCGTTCTCGTGCTAACACATCTTAAGTTGCTTGACACACTAATCAGCTAATAGAACACCAAGCCTAGCCCGCTCGGTAGCAACACTGAGGGTTTATTCAAACGCGTGAAGAGGGTTTGCTCGACATCCAGGCATGCCGTAGGAGTTGGAGCTCCCTCGCATCCCTCTTTTCAACATTTTTTGCTCGAGGCGGCAACGCCCAACTCCAAAACCCAGCTATTAAATTTTCAACGTCTACCGCTTGGATCGAATTACAGCACGTATGCCAATGTGAGCCAACAACAATGGCGACGTTCATGTAAAAGCGAAAACGAACAGTTTCATTTCATAGTTTGGCGGGGGCCTCAGTAGTGACATGGAGAAAAAGCACCAAATTTCTTTGTCTCTTGCAAGCATCAAACATATAGCTCTGTGCTTCAGTACAAGAACGATGAGATTAATGGCACATAGATCCCTTCCAACTGCCAAATCTAAATGCCTGGCAAAATAACGACACGCAGCCAATAATCTTGATATTGATATTCCATGACCAGTATGCTCTGTTGGGTCAGGTGCAGTCACGAAAAGCTGCCATGGATTAAATTTGGGGAAAAACCGTCATCTTGTTCATTCTAGAGCGTTTTGAGCTGTCAGCGCCATGGTCGCAGTGGCTACTCAGCCCGCTACTTATCGGGGGCTAATGAAGGAAAGGTATGCTTGCTAACCATAGGGCCTGTTGCATTAGGGTCAGCTTGGTTCGCGACGACGCTGTGGGGGAACTGCGAAGAGCAGAGTTGTTAACGCTGTTCACTTTTCTTCCTGCCTTGTTGAGCATCCAAACATAACACCCTCCTGTTACAAATCGCAGCCACTGTGATCTTCTGCTCTCTCTGAAGTCAGTCGAAGTACAACTTGGTCATTTGCGCTCCTCAAAACCGATCTAGATTGAACGAAATGACGGTTGTTCCCCAAATTTTACCCACAAGCCGGGTAGCTTTCGGCATTGATCGGCCTGCAGCGTTTGAAACATGTCCTTCAAGCACTGTTGCCATTTTCTGACAGCGCTTTTTTGCGGTGCAGGTGCGCCTAAACTTTTGCGGACCATGTACAGAAATAATTGATGACAACGTCAAACCGTTGTTCAATCCTGAAAGCAATCAAGAAATTTATCTTGAGTAGAATACCCGTAGGCAACAACGAGTAGATGAATTTCAGCAATAAACATGAAATCCACATAAGGTCCAAGTCCGAAGGGTTGCTGTCAGAACTTGGGAACTTAGATGCAAAGTTGCGACGCCCGGAACAATATTGGTAACCACGGATGTTTACTAGTGGGAAAGGAAGCTATATTATTTAGGTCGATGTTCGTGTACCCAATTGCAAAGACGTGTGTTTAATGATAGCGTACAGCTAAGCAATTGTATGCTTGTCCCCCCACAATTCTGTCCTGCGGGATCGGTAGGACTATGAAGTGAAACTGAACGTTTCCGCGTTTGCAATTGTTCTAGGATCCTACTGTGCTCCTTGCTCTACTTCAATCAACGCGACGAGGGTCTTTTGTCGTTCAGAATTGGATGAATCTTGCTGTGCTGGACTATGCGGAGATACGATCGGAACATAAAGAAACTACGAAATAGCGTACTGGACATGCTTCATTAGCTACGAGGCGTGGTGCTACCAGTGAACTGCGCTTAGCCCGAATATTGTATGAAGATTGACACTCAGGCATAGACGAAATTCCGGGCAGTAGTGGGCTCAAGAAGGCTTGATGGAAATGGACCGGTGTGGCGGCCAGCCCGTGTACTAGCCAGCACTCATAATTGATGGTCGACCAGTAGCCTTGGTTGTTTCTTGTGCTGTTTTTTGATTAACCAAGGTTATAGTCAGGGCGGAACGGTTCCACAATGTTTTATCTCAGGGACTAATGATTTGATGGGTCAACGAATACCGTTGCTAATAATCCTCGTCTGAAGCTGTCAAGGCGACTATTTGCCCATATACTCGGAATTGCTCATCAGCTGTGCTGCGTCTGTCCCCTCAATTATCTGTGTGATTCTCCCTTCTGCATATGTTATGGGGGGACGAACCCGATGCCTCGTACAACCAGGAAATTTGCAAGCAGGTCCCAGGAAACCAGACACTGCTTCGCGAAAAAGTTTGAAGCGCGTTAACGTCACCCAGGCAAATCCTCTGTCGACCGACAGCACTGCCGGAAAAGTTTGAAAAACTCTAAGGTGAGAAGAGATGGCTGGTACTATCCCCTGAATTGTGGCATCTTGACAACCAGGAATTTGTACGCTTTAACGGATTATAAAAGGAGGGAATGCTGTGCCATCACGCCTTACATATGTCGGCCTTTCGCTTCCGTTTCCTTGGTTGGACACCAAGAGTACCAGCACGAATGTCACGTCCAGTGTATCGACCACCCAATATGCTACTTATTCACTGGTGAGAATGCAGCATTCTGAGACGATCCGCAGTGCTGCATCCTCACCGCTGAATAAGTAGCATAAACTTAAACCCACATTCACAATGCTGTTCTGCTACAGAACTCTCAACTCTTTTTACGTCCCATAGGGATTCAATTGGCTGCGCTGCCACGTGTAAAATTACATCTTGGTTGCGGTCTTACGTCTGCCAACGCGGGTGGGAAAAGTAGTGGCTATCAATGAGCAGGCCAAGTTGAACATATAACGCTTGCGTCTGGTCCCGTCGAATGCAATATGATGCATTAGGAAGCCTGTTCTTTCAAATGCTTGCGAACCTTTTTATCTACACGTGAGGTTGTCTGGGCTACTTCCACTCATAACAGGTTACTTTGAGTGAAAACTTCGCGGGTGACCCCAGGTTCCCCGGTAGCTGAAGAGCTACGATGTGCTTGTTCGTGGTAAAATTGGTGGTAGCGAGCTGGGGTTACATAGAGGGTACAATGTCACGGAGCCGGGAGGTTGCGTATTTAGAGCCCATACACCACTAAAGCATGCAAAAGTCGTAACACACTTTCAATGGATGAACATGCGAAGGATCTTTCCCAATGCTGCTCACGCTCCGCTGCTTACCATTCAAACGCTCAGCTTAGTGTTTCTAAAGAAGGCTATCGCGAGGGGTTACCCTCTCGCTAATATCCTGCCAGCAGTTGAAACACATATGCTTGTGCAGGAAATCACCCGAGACCAAAAACCGATGGCACACATAGTTTGCCTCACCCATGGCATTGAGCTGAATCGGGCTGGCCGAAGAATGGCCAAGCAGACAGCCGCCATTGGAAGATCCTTCGAACCAGGAAAGTGGAATTGCCTTGGACAAGTTACATTAAGCTGGGGGTTCCAAGCACCTGAATTGCTCAAGGAGGACTCTTTGAATCCCTTTCGCGGGATTTTGTCCATGCTCTCCTTCCGCCTGTTTCGTGCCCACATGTAACTGCTGATGGCGGAGAACAAAGCAGCCTGGAAAGCTGTTGGTGTGTTAGAGACCCATATAATAAGAGTCCAGCTGCCCAACCGCAGGATCCAACCGCAAGGCTACATCCAGCGCAGGCCAGCAAAAATTGTCAATCTAGATAAACTGCAAACCTTGCCTTTAAGCAATAGAAGACTTCCGAATGACCCCTGCTGAGTCCGCTTGCTCGCAGAAACCTTTGAGATTGCTTTTACATTCCTGCCCCTTGGCAGGAATGTAAAGGCAATCTAAAAGATGTTTCACGGCATATTGGCTTTCCTGTTCTGTTCAACTCCTCATAGCATCTGTTAGCAGGAAAGGGTGCGTTGTTAAGGTTACGTGGGAGAGCTCTCACACAGGGACTCCTTGACTTTCCATTCCGTGGGCGGCTCTTTACAACGCTGCTGCTGAGTGATGAACACTAGCTTGCTTCATGTGAAAATGGGTTAGCTCCCCACTTTCCTACTAAGAGCGACAAAAATGTGGCGAAAGCTTTCTGGAGAAGCCCTTCATGGGAGTGCCGCCGCAGCCCAGCGCGCCTGCGCAGAGCTGCTATGTAATAAGTGCGTTCAATCCCTGCAGCACAACAATGAGGAATATGGGGCCACCCCCTACTCCAGCTGCATGCCAGAAAAACAAAATACCTCAGGTACCATAAACCTAGTGATTTCGATGGCATGTAGCTACACTTATATTGGAAAACAGTCAGCACGATCAACTTGTTGCGAGCAGCAATCTGCTCACAGCCAACCACGAGTGTTTCCTCGGTGAGGAGCACTGAATTCTCTTCCAGGACTTCCCTTACGATTGCCTAGCACAGGTCAATGGACGATTGCCTACCACAGGTCAATGGGAAAACAATAACGGCATGCTAAGTGGATTGCATACGTCGGGGTTCAGGTAAGAAGGGCGCCTCAGACTCCGAATGTGCACAACCAAGCAGTGTCGCTCCGCTCCGCATGTCGCTGGGGACGAGGATGAGTAGATGTGCAATACGCATTTAGGTCTGCAAAACCCTCTTCCCGTGGAGCTGCACATATTGGTTGAACACAGTAAGTATCTATTTGTGCCACAGGCACCGTCTTAGCATGATATTTCTGATGTTTTGTCTGACTATAACATTTGCTGTTCACCTTAAAAGATTGTTCCTTCGCCTTCGCTTTCTCCTCCTGTGCGCTTCGTAGTGCATACGAATTTGAGATGCCGTCCCTATATGGCAAGTTGACCTGAATTGCAAAACATGCGCTAGCTGCATACCCACGATGCTATACGTATCATTGGCCAGATGCTCAGCAACCTGTTGGGACAAACTTGCAATGGAAATTGTGAAGAAGTGCGTATGCCTAGTGGGTAGCAGCCCTTGCAGAGCCGCTGAAGGCCCCCCCCTCCGTTAGCAGCATTGCGGAAGTGATGCGGCTCTGAGAGAGGCTTGTTTTGCTGGCTTGGGTATGCCGTCTTCATCCGCTAGAACGTGACTCAAATCCAACTGGTGCACGGGAGGGTCAGACGGGAAAAGTGGATGACGCCGGCTGCGGTGGTGCTTGGCAAGAGAGCAACCGCTAGTTGTTGGACACACCTCCTTTGGTCAATCCAACTGCTGCACGGGAGGCTCAGACAGGAAAAGTGGATGAGGCAGCCTGCGGTGGTGCCCTAGTTTGACTGGTTGGTGTACTGCACACGTACAGTGGCAGGGGAACACTTATTAGCTGGCCGCGCACACACAAGACTGGCGAGACAGGCTTTTGTCCACCAGCCAGTGATGGTGCTCGTTTATTGCACTGATACACATATGTATCCGTCTGCCTGCAGGAAATGGCACAGATGTCTCGCCCTCTCCCATTTCCAGCACGCAGACGGAAAGGGCGAGACATCTGTTCTAGCTCCCCGATGCCCGGAGCCCCACAAGCTGGGGAAACCGGATGCCTACCCCATGACTATGCCACATTCATGTGAAGGGACAGCTCAGTCGCGCTTTCCTGCTGTTGGTTTTGGGTTGGCCTGTGTCTGTAGTATGTGCATCGGAGGAGCCGGCACAGACGTATCGTTCTTCCCCTTATGCAGACGGATGCATACGGATATGCGTGCGGTTCTGGGTTATCTAGGGCCTGTGGGATTGAATGCTCTGCTCAGCTGCAGGGTCCCCGAATATGATGCGACTTTTTTTTTAGCATGTGCAGTGTCGTTATTCCCCTGCTTTCGGCGGCTTAATGTAGCTGGCACGAAATTAGAAGCTAAAAGGCCCATGTATCCACATGAAATCAAAGCGTAAAAGGCCTGTGTCTACTAAATGCAATAATTCTAGCGCAGTTAAAAGAAGAATGGGGGCATGCAGCTGCTATCCTTGTATATCTGAAACGGCGTCGGCGCGCCTGTATCTACAGTCTCCTCCCCCATAGTTTGAGGTGGGCTTAAGCAGGGGACTAGCAGCCGCCCAAGATCAGCAGGGCAAGGCCTAGAACAAGATCAAATGGGAGGTCATCAAATATAGTTCAAGGACGCAGCAGGGATCCGCGTAAGGTGGTTGGCGAAGTGCTTCGATATCAGAAACGTGGCTGTCTTAGGGCTTACTAATCCGAGAGCTTCATGGACCATGCCGTATATCGGCATACGAAGTCTACACTGTTAGTAGGGCGAACATGTTTGCTCCAGACAATACGCGAGTGCAAATCTTGTTAAATTGATTACAGAAAGCCTGGAAAGTAGGAGCGAATCTCACCTTATTTCAGACCATCTTAAATAAACTTTTGAGGTCACGGATTGTTTAAGCCTTCCCTACTGGCACGAAAACATATTTCGGACCCCTTGGTTGCATTTCATTTGGTGGTCGAGTAACTTCACTGTTGCCTAACTGGTTGGGGGGCGATAACTGCCCCCCGCAGCTTTTACGTCGTTTCAAGGTCGAACGGATTATTCGCCGTTGTCTGCCTCCTATCGGCAACAGCCATCTGGCACCTGGCTCAGTCTTTGGGTGACGAGAACGTTATAAAAGAGTTCAACCGCTTCCTTGATGTGCCAGCTGCTGATTTGGTAGTGAAAAGCAGAAGGAATGAGATAACGATAATTCAAGGTAAGTGACACCAAACGTAGCCGAGTACTATGCGTGCGACTTGCAAGCCTCATACCGCTGGGACCCTTTAACAAGGAACTAATCTATATTTTATAGTCTAGGAAGAGGCTGGTAGTGTAATAACGTCTGGCATTCGGCTTTTAAATGACCCGCACAACCAGCGAGGAGAAAAATATCTGCCCAGCATGTGGCAGCTGGAAATGTTGGTCAACCAAACAAACTGGACGACTACAGCGATACAATGGTTTGCTGTCGCTGCTGGATTTCCTGAATGCTTTACTGTAGGTTGTCAAGAATCCGAAAAACTGCATTACTCCGTCGACGCTTCAAATGCGCGTTTCTGGCTGAGACTAATGCGAGCTAGCTCTAACCGCTAAAAAACTTTTTTTTTTTATTGGTTAATGCCTATTTTTTGTTGCGGATGCAGCGAAGGTACAAATTTCTGCAAAAACCCAATGGCCATCCTGTTAAAGCACAGATATATTCTGCTCTCATTTGGCAGGCAATAGAAAGTTGCATATTAAGTAAGCAATCACTCTACTAGTAGGCAATCACTTTGCTTACCATATATCCAGTGCCGTTCTAGAATTACGTTGGAAGTTTAGCGGGAATGGATTATCACTGAATGACAAAAAAATGGCACCCAGCATCTCTGATGTCGCACGCCCGGTTACCCAAAACAACTGAAGACAAAGCATTGCCTTTCAGTGGATGTTGCGAATCTGTAGTCACCGGGTATAATATACACACGGGTTTAGGCTATCCAAAGCATCACACTATCCCAAGAAACTCTGCTCCAGACTGTTAGCGGTTTGATTATATATGATCAATATTCGTGGTAGGCTGAATGTCTCAGTTGCGGCCAATTGCAGGCTAGCCCCTTGAAAGCGCTGTTCATCACTCCAAAAAAACATCCAAGAAGCGTTTTCAGATTTCTCTAAATTAGTACTAAAACAAGCAGAAAAAAGAAAGGTGGCCTAAAATGGCATCTGCTTCCTCTGGATTAGAGTAGCGCAGCTAATATCTGTACGAGCAGGTCCTCAGTATTATTTTCGGAAAGCGACAAGGAGGGAAAATATGCTGTTGTTGGCTGGCATGCAGCCGAAACGTTCTTGTCTTCATCTGCAAAAAGTTTCAAGAATTCTGGATGATAACCCAAAGATTGGAATGGCACAGTGCTGCGACGGGAAGGAAAGCTTGTTTACAGGATAATGGCTGGAGCGAATATGATAGGGTGATCTAGCAAACGAAAGTGGAGTATTATAATTATGGCGATTTGGAGGGAGTACCACTGTTACAACCTTTTGTATTGTAGGGTTGAATTTGATCAGAAAAATAGTTTTGGCACTGTAACCTTCCTACGTGTTCTTTTTAATCGGTTGAGCTTGGGCTTCAGTATCTCTAGGTAGCTTGAAGATTCTGTTTTCCTTATGAGATGAGTGGTTCTCGCCTTTCCTTGTTCTTTCTCTCTCGCTGCAATTTGGTCTTACAAGGCGATCAATATTCGCTTTTCAATAGGGTACCAGCCAAATTAGACGTGGCAGAGAAGTGTAAACTCGTGGTTGCAAAGCATTAACGTTTGGCCGTGGTATCTATCATGCCCCGTGAAGTGGACGATGTTTTTATGCTTACGCCGCAGGCTGTATTCGAGCAAGAAGCAAGCCGTGCGAAAAGGATAAATCAAAAGAACAGAAGAGGCCAAGATTTCCTGTACCTTCACGAACCACCAAACCAGAGTGAATTTTCAGAGTTTCACTCAAGCCCTTCCAGCAGGAAGACCAGATTATCCGTCAGTCAATCTCTGGCATGGGTTCCCATCTTTGAGATTGCCGCTTACGTGCTTTGCCTCGCCGCGTTTCCCGTCGGTGGAAACAGTATATTATATAGATGCGGATGTTCTCTATGGTGCGGGCGATATTTCCTCTTATGGCCTCCATACATTATTCGGTAGAGCCAAAAAATGAAAGCAGTCGTGGCTTTTCCACGTCATTTCCAAAAATCCCCCCAAATATAGAGGTTTTAAAAGGGAATGAAGCAAGTAAATTTGACAATACAGGTTGATCTTCGCTTGGTGTCCGCAAATCATATGCACAATCCTCTCGAGGCTTCTAAAGGGAAAGATGGCATCCACTGCTACCTTGAAATTGATGATGCATTAATTCATATATTTATGTGTACTTTGGCATTGCTGAATGATTTACCCATATATCTATGTATTTGGCATTGCTGAATCATTTACTCATATATTTATGTGTACTTTGGCATTGCTGATGCATTAGCTCATATATCTATGTGTACTTTGGCATTGCTGATGCATTTATACATATATCTATGTGTACTTTGGCATTGTTGATGCATTTCTTTATAGATCTATGTGTACTTGGGCATTGTTGATGCATTTCTTTATAGATCTATGTGTACTTGGGCATTGCTCATGCATTTATTTACATCTCTATATCTGTATTTTGGCATTTTGGATGCATTTATTTGTATATGTATGAGTACTTTGGCATTGCTGATGCATTTATTTGTATTCTCTATGAGTACTTTGGCATTGCTGATGCATTAATTTTTATTCTGTATGAGTACTTTGGCATTGCTGATGCACTTATTTGTATTCGGTACGAGTACTTTGGCATTGCTGATGCATTTATTTGTATATGTATGAGTACTTTGGCATTGCTGATGGGTTTGTTTCTATATATATGTGTGCTTTGATGATGCATTTTTGGATATACGTTTACTTTGATATTGCGGATGCAAAGCAAATAGAGCTTCAACAGTCTGTACTTAAGAGATGTTCCCACAGTTTAGCGAGACACTTCTTTCAGTGATATACTCCTTTCGCAGTTTAGTACTATATTCCAACAAGGAGACGCTTATGAAAAACTGCAGTAACGTGTTATGTACCCGCAAAAAATATGGAGAAATTAGAGGTCTCTGTAGAGCATTTCTTGAGTATTTAATACCACCTTGGTGCCCTTAACCAAGATTCACAACACTCTTTCAAACGTGTTATTGAATAGTGCGCTAAAACAAGACCCGCGTCGTAGTCAGAGCCACGGTATTGTCTTTTTTCGATACTTTTACAGTTCAACAATACCAACCCACGAGAGACGGTAGCAGACTCGTTGAAGGATGACAAGGCACCAGAAAATCAATATAGCTCGCTTTCATCGTGTACTCGCTTCGCGCTGGCAACTGCTCTTGAAATGCAGCAAGGAAACTCGGCATAACTCGGCAGAACCTTTCAATTTTGTTCTTGCATAATCCTGCTGATGTGAGTGAAGAGGAATCCTTTGGTTTATTCCTCTTCACTCACATCAGCAGGATTATGCAAGAACAAAAAAGACTGTGACCTAAGACCTTAGTTCGAAATTTAGGAAAGATTTTTTTTACTACTGGGCAGGCATTAACGTTCCTTTCGTAAACGAAGACTCACGCACGCTATTTTTGCTGGTAGTCTAGCGCTGGCAACTTCATTGTCTAATTTTTTTTGACGAATGCGTGGAGAGTCATTTTTGAGTGTTTCGTTGTTTTTTTACACTGATCTCAGTATGCGAAAAGAACGACAGCCTGGCGTTGAGACGCCGCTATAACTTGAAGGGTTATAAGAGTCCCGCATTAGAATCGCCACTATGGTCATTGTATTTTGCAGTTGCCATTGTCCCTTGCTCATTCAATGCGACTCCCTGATATCTGCGGCTCCCTGGAGACGATATACCCCTCCGTGTATGCGACGTTGCGCTACAATCTGGTGGCAGGGTTTCTCCCATTTGTTGAGAGCAGAAATGGCAATGCAGTCGGTCGCAATGCCCTATGTCGCATGTATTTTTTGGCGTCGCTTTCATCTATGAAAAGAGGATTCGCCCTACCGCGATATTGAACACCAAGCGAATCTTCAGCTGTACATCTCTGTATGCTTTGGGGCGGATCTCCATATACGTGGAACCCAAAGTCTCCATATACGTGGAACCCAAAGTCTTCGCCAGTTATCGAACGCAAGCAGTTCAGGATAGATCACAATTGGCTTCAGAAGCAACTGTGGAACCTACGCCTCGCCATAATGGCATGACGATCAACATGGTGGCCCGCAGCAACTCATCATTTCCAATATCACTTCCAGCAGAAATTGTTGAATAGCTCCACAGCAAATAGGTCCACATTCTCCACACTCCTAAACCTTAACCACTCAATACTAGCCGTGCAGGACTAACGTCTCAGCCGCTTGGCACAGTTGCCCAGGCTCACGTTCACAATGCTCGGGCCTTTCCTATTGCGCATGCTTCACATACAGGCTGAGCGTTCATCGTACTTCGAGGACTCTACATCTGAGTACCGCCAGTCTATCGTCCGTCCAACTCTCACGTGCGGGGGAGGATAGACTGCTAATACTTAAGAATGCAACCGTGACTGACGTAACCCAGTTTGTAGTCACACTGCCACGACACTGCGTATGCTCAGGCTCAACAGGAGATCACGCCAGACGGTAGCTGGGGATGTAACTGACCGGCAATTCGATAACTGCATTGTAACTCTGCAAATTGAGCGCTCTAGGGAATCAATCCCCCAGCCTCTAGGGTGGTCAATTTACGGTGTCACAATCCTGTAATGAGTTGAACCTCAGCCCACGAGGAAGCCAACTAATCTGCCCCTGCGTTTGATTCATAATGAGCTTGATTGCTGATGTGATTGAATCGCATCCAATAAGCGTAGCTAAGTCCCCCTCAGCGTTCATGCATGGGACGAGTTACCGGATTTATGTAAAGCCACGATGAGGTGCTGTCCAATTGGCTTGGCCTGCTAGACGCTCGCTCTACGCTCGCCTGTGCGTTTTACCACGTAGGTGGCTGTTATAGGATGGCTACAACCTCTTCTAGCAACATGCCCGTCACTTGGCGAGCGATTATCCTGTATGCCTGCCCTGCACAGATTTTCTGGCTCACCTCTTTAGTGGGGCCCCCTTCTGCCATTCTGCAGAAGAGCGGTCTACCGTATACGCGTACGACGTCTTTTCAACTAGAGTCGCAACCTATCCGGCTGAAGGTACAAACGCCAATTGCGGTCAGGGCCAAAAGTTCATACACTACAAGCCCAGTCAAAGACTGTAACAGTCTCGACCACACCACTTTACCCTTCTTATGAGAAACGATTAATCCGCGTGCGTATGGCACTGGCCACTGTGAGGCATCCGCCGCCTTCAGCTGTAAATATTCAGCAGCCTTCGGACCAATTACATTCAACGCCTGCGTTAACTCCCACCCTTATTAATGCAACGTGGCGTAGTCAAGCAACGGGAGGACATTGCGTAGCATCGGTATCTGCTTCTCGACACCATCCGTCTCCATTGGTGTCGCCTCAGGCAGCACCACCGTCACCCTCATCAGCAGAGCACCACCGTCACCCTCATCAGCAGGATTATCGGACTTCTGCTGTCCCTATGCTCGCCTTAGGCAGAATTCCTTTGGTTCACTCCAAGCCGCTTGTCTCCACCGCTAGCTGCCCCCCCACTCTCTCCGCGTCCCGTTCGATTTCCGCAACCTCTAGGAAGGCGGAGCCTCTCTCACCTTTTATATGCTCCCCCTACTATTTTGCAACATCTAGGAAGGCGGAGCCTCTCTCACCTTTTATATGCTCCCCCTACTATTTTGCAACCTCTAGGAAGGCGGAGCCTCTCTCACCTTTTATATGCTCCCCCTACTCAGGGGATAGTGGAATGCCATCAGGAGCTTCCCGTAATACACACATCACGCCTCGGCCCTGGTTGGCCCGCTAGTGCCGTTCTTCTCCCTCAACGCCTACGGGGTCTCGTTAACGTTTGCTGCCTATGTTAGAGTGACTGTACCAGTGTACTAGAGTCTGCGTTTGAGGCTAGCTTCTGTCTGTGGTTAGGCAGTCCTTAACGGAGTGTCGAATGGCCCACGCTTCTTAGATGTTCTACGGGGTCTCGTTAACGTTTGCTGCCTATGTTAGAGTGACTGTACCAGTGTACTAGAGTCTGCGTTTGAGGCTAGCTTCTGT